TCTGTATGATAATAAAATAATTACCAATATATCAACTTGGTATGCCGGAAGTATCGGCACAAGGTTTGGAATTCACTGGGGACTCAGAATGTAATCACACGAAAATTATAGACACTTTTAATAAAAACTTTATTTATAGAAACTGATTACACTTTCTTTACTTAACGCGACTCGACTCCTTTTGATTTATTAATGACGCCGCTTTCGTTTTAGTAATGACGCGTCGACTATGTTTTTGCCTCTCACGCCTCTCGTTTTTATCAGATCTTCCGCGCGTTTCGGTCTTGCTGATTCGACGTCAGTTATCTTTTCGGTTATCAGTTGAGGGCAGGCATCACTTGTGCAATCAGCACTCGTGACACACAAACTTTAAGTAAATTTTATTCATCACTTGCAAATAAACTGTAGAATTTTGTTAAAGAAGTTTATTTTATAAAATATTAAGGTGTAAAGATAATCAAGGTGTCAGCTATGTTTTATACAATTTTTGTTATTTTACATTAAAAATGCTTAATATCATTCTTTTGCTATTAAATGTGATTTGTGCAACTTCAATCTCGAGTCCATAGAATAATGAAAGAGAAACGCAAATAGAGATTGCTTTTTCAAAATCAAACTATGGCAAATGTCAGTTCTCGGAAAAGGGTTGGAAAACTCATTAACCGAGCCAGCCGGTTGATGACTCTCCGCGGGTCACTATTATCGAGGCATTCGAATTAACTGCATTCGAGCATCATAGGTACTGACCTACTACGCGCACACAAGCTTAACTGCTTCCTCTCCTCCTTTTGTTTCCGAAGCATTTCGCAGTCTCCACCCGCCAGCTTTCATCAATCATTTCAGTTTTGCGCAAGATTCGTCCATTATTCGAATCCCTGTCCTTCATTTTCTTCCTTTGCTTTCATCTTCCGTTCATTCGGATCCTCTTTCCGTTACCTCGTAAAATCAAACCTTCGATATATATTTAGTTTATATGTCTATAGATTAAAATATGACAAAAGAGATTTTTCACAATTTATACCTTTATTATATTTGTTACATAAAACTAACATTAATTACCTTTCACAAAACATTTTTGCAAATCAAAAACAATAATATTTGCAATAATAATATTTACAAATTAAAAATAACATATGCAAAAATACTATAATAAATTGATAAATAATTAAATAATAAATGAAGGTGAACGCAAGCAGAATAATTATTAATTATCGTGATATGTGATGAATTACACGGCTGAATTTATGGTTATTCAAAGATCGATCTGTGCAATAGTGCAATACCCCAGCGGCGATACATTAAAATTATTATAATTTAATGCAGAGACATTATTTTGTACGATATTATTATGGACTGATATTTTTCCTTCTGTGGCTGCTATTGCCCGCAGGAGCGGTGCACACATACGCCAACCGCGAAAAGTTAGATATTTCACACACTTGTAATTTACCAAACCACGAAAACTGCAAAAAATATCACATCGATATTCTCATAAGCGAAGGGAAAATTCTCGAAAATGTACTTAGCTGTGAATTCTCATCTCTGAGAATTATAAATCAGCAATAATATGTATTTTATTATACCAAATTAATAAATCTCTTTTTATAAATACTGCAGTTATAAGAGATATATTAATAACAAGAAATTCAGCTGTTATACAGGTATATTATGATTGCAAATTTATAAATTAGTTAGACATAGTTTGAATCTGCGGCTAGTTTATAAAATTTCGCGAAAGTTTAAATTTCTAACTTTTAAAACTTAATTTTAGTATTTTATTACGTGTCTACTTAATAAACCATACGCAATATAGAGTTAAACAAACATATCATTAAATAAACGTGTAATAATAGCATCCTATAAAATCATTATTTTTAATATAAAATATATGTGACTAAATATAAAGTGTTGTGAGTGATAATTAATAACAAATAATTGTACATAAAATGTAATTCATAAATATTATATTTAATTAAACATAATATTTAATTAATTTTTAGAATACTTATATTTAATTATAATATAAAACATTTATCTCTCTAGATAAAAAATATTATATTATAACATATTTTAACGGTAAACATATTTCTTTATTCAATTATTACTACATTTGACGTAATAAATAAATTAAATTATCTTATTTATGTGTGTGTGTGTGACGTTTATTAAACTGGCACAGCCACTTCAAACACAATCAAACGCGACCTATAATATTTTTTTGCCATTTTTTTGCTAATTTTTTGCTCTATTCTTGATTTTTTTACTCACTTTTTATGACAAAAACTTCGACCAACAGTGTGGTTGTGCTGGCTTGCGTACAAGAGTAAAGTACATTAAAGCAATAAATTGTCGGGTTCATTTTGGTCTCAAAATGTTTCAAAAATTATTTGCTCTAAGAATATCCCGAATCCGAATTTCTTGTTCATCGTTTACGTCGCGAGCGAGCACAGCTACTGTTGGTCGAATTTTTTTAAGTTAGAATCATACTGTTGAAAATTTGCACGTTAGGTGCGATACAACGCAAAGTACCTACTAACTGCGAAAGCTAATTGTTAAATATCGATATAAAAGTTTATGTGTATCACTGATATTTTTAATTATTGGTATTTATTATGTTTAAAAAAATATTCTCCTCTGACATTTTGATATTAAGATTTTCGTCTCTAAATTATCTCTAAAATAAGTCCTTAAGAAAAAATACGGTAGAGGCAGATAACTTTCTTACGTATTTTTATCGACAGATCTTACGCAAAACAGAATATTATGATTGTAATTTTCTTATCAAACGGAAATTACAATCATTCGATCGTCTTACATAGTGTTTTCTGCTGATTATTCTATTAAACGTTAAATCTCATTTTACGCTAAATATTTAAACATCGAATGCAGTCAGTATGTGTGCGTAGGGTTGCAAAATAAAAAAAATTTTTAAGAACAAATATTAAAGAGCATCGGATGCCAAATCCATTCATGTATAATAATGTTATGATTTCATGATTCAATTTTTAAGAAAACGACGTAACGTGTGTAACGTTTGTAACACGATTATCATCTCGTTTTCTGAAAAATTGAATAGTGGAACCATAACATTATTATACATGAATGGATTCGGCATTCGATGCTCTTTAATTTTTGTTCTCAAAAATTTTTTTAATTTTGCAACCCTGATAAGTGGGAGTGGGGGTTAATTAAAAAATTTGATTTTTTTTAATGAATACACTATATAGAGTATAAAATAGTGTAAAACTTTTGTATAAAACATTTTTGACAGTTCTGACCGTTCCCCTGTTAGAGCAAATTATTCTGGAAAGCATTTTAAAACCAAAATGAACCCGACAATTTATTGCTTTAATGTACTTTACTCTTGTACGCGAGCCAGCACAGTCACACAGTTGGTCGAATTTTTTGACATAAAAAATGAGCAAAAAAATCGAGAATAGAGCAAAAAAAATTATCAAAAAATAGCCCTTCAAGAATATGTACTTGATTTTTCATTTGCTGCTTCTTCTCTTTGTGGCTGTGCTGAGCTTTAGTCTTAAGCTAGCACAGTCATAGATTTCAACGAATCGGCTGGAGCAAAAAAATCAGGAATAGAGCAAAAGAATAGTAAAAAAATGTTATATAGGTCGCGTTTGATTGTGCTGAATTGACTGTGCCAGCTTAATAGACGTGTGTGTGTGTGTAGTAATCTTGTACATTTCTGTTTGATTAACGACAGCTAAGCAAAGATCTCGAGCAAAGACAGATTTGAAAAACGTGCGTCGTAAATAGGCAATATCGGACTTTCGCCCGTTTAATTTAGCCCTCACGTTTATTTCAATGAGCCTTCACTCCGGAAGTTCTAGGTAATGAGAAAGCAGTAAAGACAGATTAAGAGAACCCCAAACTCTTCCCATTCCCGAAGCTAACATTCTTTTGTGACAAATCCATTAGGGACTTCGAAGAAATTGAGTTTGCGTCCACGATTCATTATAATCTCATTTATAAATGAGAATTAACTGCTTGCCTAGAAAACTGTGACAGCCTTTTAATTATCACTCCCTAACAGTGTACGTTCAATAAATTATCTGAGAACGGGATAATGCTCGATTATAACAACTTTACTATAATCTTCATAAATGAGATTCCTTTATGTTAAATATGATTTATTTTTTTATTTAAATATATTTTGTTATTTTTGAGAGAGTATATAAGTAATTACTATATTTAAATAAATTTGGAAGTATTATAGAAAATGTAAAATAAATAATATATTTTGAAGTATTCCCTCCTTTCATGAAATATTATAAGTAAAAAGTTAAATAAGGAAAAGCGTAAATAATAGATAATAAAAGATAATCATTGAAATTTTTCTGATTTCTATAATATTAATTATTATACAAACAGCGATGTATTGAATTTATTTAAAAAAATTTAATACCATAAAAAAAACATTTTTCAAGATAATCATTTGTTCACATTAATATGAGCATCTATATAATCTTACGCAAGAGTTATAGAAACTCGTAATTAGGAAAGGTCAAGTATTGCCTTCAAGAACATAATAGCTTTTCAAAACTTTTATCGAAGCAATTAATGTACGTACTCGTTGATGCTTACGTACATAAAATTTTGTATTAAGTCTTATTACGAGAGACTTTGGTAATATAATTTAATATTAAATTATTTTTAATTCTTCGAAATTTTGTATTCCGAAAAAAATTTTGCAAATTATTTGTTTTAAGATATTACTTTGGTTAACTTAATAATAATTATATAAATATATATTCCGTTATACTTTGCATAATTAGTTTAACATTTGTACAGCTCGTTATTTATAAGTCCTAATTTTTTAAAAGCTATTGAGCATTTATATATGTATATATTTTTTCGTTAATTAATCTATCTGTATCCGTTCAAGGAAGTAAGACTTCAATTTTAACTATATGGTTAGTTTAGACTATATTACCGTACACTTTTCTATAAAGTTGATCATTATTTAAGGTAATTTAAAAGTTTACCTTCGAACAAGTCGCTGGTCGCGCTCCTCTTCTCCCTGAAGTGCACACGATCGAGGAAATCGCTTTTCACGGAGGAACACCGAATCGAACAATCGGAAGACAATGACACGGAATGGAGGCGGGTGGGCGAAAGCGCATCCAAAAAGGGACAGCCCCTTGGAGCACTCGCTACGAAGTATCCAAGCACTTTCAACACAGCTTTTGCTCGACACTCTTCGATCTCTTACGAGAGCGATCGATTCCCGAGGCGACGATCTTGAGAGTCGCAACAATCTTCGACACTCAAGAGTATCTAATAGTTCTCCGCTTGAAAACACATGATACGATGTTTCGCGCGAGGACAATAGCAATTTATTAAAGGAATTCCGCTGCGCTTTTGTCGAGCTTACAACGGACACTTTTATCCACATGCATATTTTACTTTCCTCCGCGATGTCGCGCACGATCTTTTCTCACAACATGCAGCTGTTGCTCCAATTTCGGCTTAAACTCGCGGAAAACTTTACGCCGTGATGGAAAATTAATAGAACGCACCGTCAACACTTTCCCGTCCGCGGCTGCAGCTTCTCGCGTATGCCAAAAAGCGTGTAATCGACGGTGACGAGAAGAGAATTTCATTCATTGACAATGTCAATATTGTTGCATTTCCGGTCGCGCATATCGTATATTAAGATTTTATCTTGACGGCTATCGATCAGAGAAAAAGTGAGTTTTATTTTCAAATATATTCCTTTTCTTTTCTTTTCTTATTCTCAACTATAATTTTATTTCATAAAATCCCGAAACGCGCAGAGCGTAATTCCGTATTTTGGATGAATTTTTTAAATAATTTTTTTCTTTCTATCTTACCGTATTTTACCACAAATTGCACAATATAATCCCTCGTTTTACTTTTACTACATTCACGATATTTTTATTCACCTAATTGCGTAACTCCGTGACGTTCCTCATATACTTACTCGTATAATAACAATTTAGATACAACACGTGATGTAATTTTATCCCGATATATTCCGTTCTCAAAGAGCGACTAATTACGTTGATAAAACGCGCGATAAAAAGTTGAACGGATAATCGCGATAGCGCTTTATACTAAAAGTTCACGCGAAAGACATTTCGACGAAAAAGGCGCTCTAATGTCAATCGTAGCTGTTATCCTTGCGTTTCGCACAACACTTTAACCGCCCGAAAACTGCAATTGCACGACAGAGGATACATCAAACGGTCAGTCGGAGCTTTAGTCTCACGAGTACTTTTCGCCAGCACTTCGCGTAATCGTTTTCGCGAACACGGCTCCGTCTGGTCACGTAAGGCAGCACGACGTTACTATTATTGCGACTGTATTTTTACAGTTCACGTGCGCTTCTGTTTCAAGACTCACCATACATTCGGACGAGTAACACTGTTATTTTCACGGTTCTTTGAACACTTAAAACACTCCGAGGACGTACTTGCAAGCCACAGACTGTTATTGCGAAGATGTTTGCATGTTACGGTATTTTTCACCTTTTTGTTGTCACTCGCGAAAAATATTTACAATTACACGGTATCTACGGAAAATTGGTTTTCTCTCGTGTATCACCGGCATCTCGGCTGTGATGTCAGACGACCTTATTCGGTTCGATCACTTTTCTACAACTTCGCTTGGGACGAATTATGTCTTCTCCGACCAAGAGACCGCACGATCAAGAATTCGCACGTGGAATAATACGGTAGTCCGAAAAGCGCAGCATCTTTTACGCTCTTCGAAAATTCATTAGATTCTTTATGAAAATGTTTATAAACAAAAATTGCTGATTATTTATATCAATATGATTTAGATTTTATCTCTGATTATGTCTTATGTCTTTCCGACACAGCCTATTATTCTTACAAACTTTATTCTCTTTATAGAAATACTATATATACTTTTTATCCAACCGTCTTTGATTCTCAATTTGATTTTCAAATTTTAATATGTTTCTAGTTATGTACATGGATTTAAAATATACTTTGCATTTGAAAGTACATCAAAATCTCGTCACTACAGCTCTCTTAATTTGTTAAAATTTTTTCTCTGATTGTTACCTAGTAATAGAAACAAATATCTGCGGTCTATAATATATTTATAACTCTCGTTGGTTTTCCAGTAAAAATTAAATGTTCAAATGCACAGTTTTATCAAGCGTGCGTGTCGCTATAAATAAAAATCGTATTTTTATACGCGAAACCGGAGAGTTCGCGCCACTTTTTGAGGTAAATTCACGAGCGAGCTCTCACATTCAAGTATCACTTAAAACCGGAAGATTCGTACTCGTGTGAAGCTTATCGGTATTAGAGAGAGCATGAAGCTTTAATGCGGATTTTTGCTGACACATTTACGCACCACCGCAGAAATATCTCTCTTGAACGTTATATTGAACGTAGCTCGAACGTACTCGATTCGAATTCAAGCACCTTCAAAAATCTCAGAGGCATCCAAAGCGTATCCGTTCCCCAAATATCGCATAAAGTTGATCACATTCGAAACCCGAGAAACCTTCCACTCTATCACATCCCGGATATTTCACAGATATATTTTCCCCCGTATTTCGATCAGTTCTTTTTAAATAGCAAAAACACGTTGCAATATTTCACTAGTACTCGCGTAATAATTTTGTACAAGAGAAATTTGCACAGGTGAGAGCATTTTAATCCGGATTTCACTGAATGCGCTTCATTGCACTCTCACTTCGACTATCATCCCGCTGCCGCAGAATCCCGGGATCGAATTTATTTCAAATTTCACTCAAGCACCTCGAGCACATTCAAAGACAATTATTCCGTAAAACAGATTCTTCCCCTAAAATTCCCTACAAATTCTCTACGAAGCGCACTAACGTTTCTTTTTTTTTTTCGCGATGCACTTTAGTCTTTGGGAATTCAAGCGTTTTCTCTACGTCGACCAGGATTCCTCGATCACTCTGCGATTTAGCCGAAAATCCTCGCATTCCCACAAATACATTTCACCGTTCCCGAAAGCACTCAGATCGACGAAACCCGCGAAGCGCGCGAAAAGAAAACAGATTGCCCGATAAGCAGCAAACAAACGTGTTGCTGTCAGATCGGGGAGCGAAATCCAAAGCTGAGTAAATCGATCTACCTTTCTAATCGCACACGCAGCTCACTTATTGGAAACTTAGGATCTGTCAACGATCGATAGATCCGCGATTACGGTCACTCACTCGCACCTATCGATCGCCACTGATTCATTCTCGTAAATTCGAATTCATTTTTCTCTCATTAAAGCGCACCCCTTGTGATTCTTTTCAATTGACGTGTCTTGACAATCGTCGTCCGAAATTTTCAATCGCATCAGTCGAACGATGCGATGCGGCGACGGCGATGGAATCGGCCGGTTTCGCCGAAGGAGGACGGAATCTCGATTTTTTCTTCTTAAAAAGTGGTCTCACTTTAGCGGTGGATGCGCGCGCGAAACCACCACGAGTGATGCTGACGTCGGACTGGAGCCTCCGAAGCGGCGCTAGCGTCGCTACGAGCGAGGGGCAAACCAAAATCACCCTCCTCCGCGTCGCGACGTTCACCCCCGAGGAGGAGGGTGACTACAGTGGCGGAGGAAAAGCTAAGTCGCCCTGAGTTTAAGGTGCGAATCGCGTAAGAGAATAAGAGATTTCGTAGAGAAACCGCGACTTGTTATGCGACTTCTATTTTTTTAAAAGATAAATCGTGCTTTTCTTTAATTGTAGATTTGCAAAAGGATAAGTCTAGCGTATATTTCATGACATTTATCTTCAATCGCTTTTGTATTTCTTAGTAGACGTGATTTAAAATTGATACATATATATATATATATATAATAATTTAATAAATATAAAACGGGAGAGAAGAGAAATTAAAAATTTTGCTGATTATTCCAAAGATATACAATCATCTAAAAGAAAATTAAAAATTCATTTCCATAAAAATATAGCAAATAAAATAATGTTAATATAAATTGGAGAGATATTTTCAATTAATTAAAATAATACTTCCCAGAACATTTGTTCTAGATACTGTTGGGGAAAATACATATTTTGTCATGCTTGTTATTGGACATTTATGAAGCGAACAGTTTCGATCGTGGCAATCATAACGACGTTAATAGCTCGCTCTCGACGTGGTATGTCAATTATGCGTACACATGGATATAATACGTGCAATACAGTGTTGACCATGGATGGTAACGTACACTCCTGATTCGCCTCCGTTTGTTACATATCGCGATGTAACGTGTCAGAAGTGTCTATTGATCTCAGCGATGTCGAATGCATAGAACGGTCTAATGCGTTAGCAGTATCGAATGGCCGATGCGCCGGCAATAGATCATCCGACGGGTGGCTGAGATTTCGGAAATTACCTATCCGATATCGCGACGCCGCGATTTGCAAAAACGGCGGCCGACGTTGACTGATGCGAGAATGACTGGAAAACTCGATTTTGCAAAAAAAAAAAAAAAGGACAAGAGGAACGACACGCGGATGCCGGAACTTCCGTGTTTTGCGATAGGTGAATTTTTGAACCGCGCGGAACAACCGGAGGATTCGATCGACACCTCATGGCACGACTGCGAACAAATACCTGCTTGCGTATACGAGTGGATACAACAAGCATGTCCGTTTTGGTCGCGTCTCTTCTGCACAAAATCTAAAACGGAAGATACGAGCATCCGTTTCTTTCACGAAATGGTACACGCTTATCGTGAAATCGCGGTTTTTTTTCATCTACGATAAAATACGACAACAAATTAAATATAAAAATCGACTCTCGAAAATTTCAAATACAAAGAATAAATAGGCTAATGAGAGTAAACTCGCTGTTATCAATGCGAAATCACAAAAAACAATATATATTCGTTAACAATCAAAAAATGTCATATATAAAATACTATACGTTTCGGCCTAACATCCGGGCCATCTTCAGTAGTAAATTCACAAAAAAGACATGGATCTGTAGAAAAGTGGTCACTCTCAACGTCAAACAATCAAATCCACATGGTTGGTAGGTCATGTGCAAACGACAAGACGTTAATCTAAGTAAAAATTAAA